TTCATCCCTCCAAGAAAAACTGGAACCACTGCATAACAATGCCTCCAAGTCCCATCCAAGAGTCAACCCAAAAGTATATCATTGTCAATGGTACTAAAAGTGGTGGAGAGATCCAGTGGAACTAACAGGAACACACTCCCCCTCCAGTTCCATGTGTAACTCATCCACCAACACAACCAAAGCTGTCCAGACAAAAGGATGAAAATAGGGTAGCCAGAGTGAAAACTGGAGATGGTTCTTGTACATTTAATGGTTGCACAGAAGAGGGAATTTCAGCAGATCCTGCTTCTTACCTGATTGTATGAAAAGCAACAGCTACAAAAATTCTCTTTTCTATACAACCATCAAAGGTACTCCTGTTTTCAATCAGACAGCCATAGATGAGGGGCAGCATGCTAGCAGCCATTCCATCAGGTTGCAGAGCAAAAACTGAAAAGAGAAGCAGGGCTATTCTCTCTCTTTTTCCTAAGGGACCACTGGCTATCCCTCAGCTGTCATATAATGGCAGCCATTCCATCAGGCAACCTTTTCCCATTTGACAGCTTTTTGTGATGAAAACTATAATTTTAAGAATAGGTGTTTAAGCTGCATTCCCCTGCCCATCCCCTTTTCTTTGTGTTATGTCTTTTAGACTGTTGAGCCTTAGGGCAAGGACTGTCTTATTAATAATATTTATAAGCTGCTGTAGGGGTTAAAACAATTTAAATACGAAAATAAATACCAATCATGTAAATACCAGCCACAAGGGATAAACAGCTGAAGAGGGCTATTGTCCTTGTGTATGCATCAGCTTGGTCACTGTAAGCCTTACCACATGAGAAAAGAAAGCCAAAACGAAATGAGAAGGTACTGGCTTTCTCTTTGTCTCTCTGCATGCCATCATAGCATTTCAGTTCTCTTCCCAAGGGAGATAGTTGTAAAAGCTATAACTCTCCTGCTCTGTTTCAAGCTTTCTTTTCTCATGAAATAAGGCAGTGTGAAAAAAAGGATGCTGGTCTATATAGTGGTTTGATCTGATCCAATAAGTTCTTATGACCTGCTTCCAAACAAACATACAGAGGAATAGCTTCAGTTAATCTGAAGTACTGTGAACAGTTCCCGGTACTGCACTTTTTTAACATAAATAACTTGGACCAAATCTGAAAAAGGGCAGCAATGACTGTCAGTTAGCTAGAAAGAAAGGCCTAAATGCCCTAAAGACACTAGTTACTGTCTGATCTTGGAAGCTAAGGAGGATCAGCCCTGGTTCCTAGTTGTATGGGAGACTGCCAATGAAGAGCTGGTTGCTGTAAGGCTAGATTTCAAAAGAAAGAACTGGCAAAATCACTTTTGAATATTCCTTGCCTAAGAAAATCCTAAAAAATTCATGGGCTCACCATAGGTCAACAGGTGACTTGAAGTCACATACACATAAACAAGCTAGAAAATAAGTGCTATGAGAAACTGGGCATATTTAGCTTGCAGAAGATAGCCATAGTCTTAGGGAAAAGACAGAATACCAATGAAGTAAGAAGATATAATAATAGAGGTGGAACAAAAGAGGGCAAAATATCATTTTCTGTTCCCCTGAGGGCAAGACTAAGAAAATCAATACCTACTTTGGGAGGGTTTCTGAGGATTCCCTATTAAGAGTCCTTGGGGGAATATTCTACGGTGAAATCTCCTATTCATTTTCTGAGTCAACTATTATCCAACATAGGCATTCTCATAAGCAGCTAGGAATGTAATTCTTCACTAATTTTCTTCTCAAAGGAAGCAATGAATTATTTTAGCAGCTTTCCTCTTGCTGAACAGTCTTTGAAAACTGCTCAGTTTTTGAAGCCTATTCGCAATTGGGAGCTCACTGCATACAAAATTCACACAAGTAGAAGAGACAGTTTCCTTTGTAGAAAAATGTTATTTTCTGAGCAAAACAGCCACGTGTTAATTTTGTATAGAATTAATTCCTGAACTGTGAAGATTCTCATCAGTCCAAATTCCTTCTCATCAGGATTTCTCTACATTTGAGAAACATGATTTTCACCCATTTTTCTTGTAATTTTGAATATTTAAAATATTTGTCCATACTTCTGAGCAACCTCAGAAGGTGACAGCAGCCACATCTGTGCCTTTAAAAATGACTCAAGACACTGTTTTTCTAAACTGCAATTTGCCATTTCTCAAGCAACTATAGTAACCACTACTTATTAATCAAATATTCCATGAGTTTTCATTCCAGATGTTAATCTGTTTACATGAGGATAAAAGTGGGTAACCTCTGATCCTCCAGATGTTGGGAATGTAATTCCCATCAGCCCTAGCCAACACTGTCAGTAGTGAGAGAACACAAAAGGTACAGGCTAACAATACCTCAGAGGCCTAGATAATAATAATGGGTCTAAAAAGAGACTAGCATATAACTGTGTGGGGTGGGACAATGAAGAGGAGCACCTCTGTTTTACAACTGGGCAAATGTACTGATTTCAATTTAAAAGTTACCGTACTTGCTCAAAGATAAGGATGGAGTTTAGACATTAGCATGCCCAAATGCATGCATCACATGCAAAAACATCACACTGCAGTCAACTAATATTAGGGAACAAACAGTCCTACCCAAATTGTCTGCCATGGTACCTCAGGGTAGCTTTAGGAAGACCCAGCTACTATGCAACAGGTAAAATGAAATAACTAAATCCACTTGCAAATGTATAGCTATAAACCATGAATTAAAATGCCATTTCAAACAAATGTCCCAGAATTTTTGATGAGCAATTCCCTTTCAAGGCTGAAGTCCTCAGCATATTAATTCACAAGAACTCTCAGTGAAATCATTGAAATTTAGCTTCATGATGTCATGTAGAGAATCAGCCTTGCAAATTCAAGTGCCTTTGCTTCAGCTTAGAATGTTTGTACAAGCATACTTTGCTAAATGTCCTAACTGAATAATTTTGTTTAATTATTATATTCAAATAGGACACATGCTTTACCCATTTTTTTTTCTCCTGAGAAAAAAAGCTGTATTAATTTTGTACAGCATCTGATCCCTCCCAGCATTAGGTACAAAATCTGCCTGGCCAAGCAATCTCCCCCAAGTATCATTTAACACTGGCAACCTTACACTGCAAAGCTATTTACATGAAATGATGGTTGGCAGCTCTCACTCTTCCATGGGAAGAAATTAACATTGGCATTCCAAACACAGGAAAGTAAGGAAATTAGAAACACAGTTCAGATTTGGCCGGCACTTTGAAATACTGTACCATGTGCTACTGATGTCAATTAATGAAAAGCAGAGATTTTTGCTCAGGGGGTCT